CGCTCTTCCCTGAACCTCAGCTTCGGCCAGGTAAGGGCCCCTACGTGCAGACCAGCCTCACGGCGGTGCCCTCACCAAGCATTCCAGTGAGCTGAGGTTTTCCCCCACTTCCTGCCCAGAGATCACCTCCTTCTCTCTTCCCAGCTCTCTGTGCCTCATTTCTGTCTGGCTTCACCACTCCTCAAACCTTCCGGGTACTGAAGCTTCACTCATGCTGATCCCTCTGCCTAGAGCAGAAGCTCTGGCATCAAACAACTGTTCATTCGACATCTAGGACTATTAACTGAATACTCGCCGTAGGACAAGCACGGTCCAGGCACTGGTGATTCAACGGTAAAGAAAACAGACAAAACTCCCCACCCTCAAGGCACATAACTCGTAGGGAGGGTCACATGCCAAAGCTAATAAGCCTCACCACTGAGACACCTCTCAGTCTATACCTGTCACATGCCCCATGCCAAGCAACACAGTTCGTATCTCATAAAACTGGGTCAATTCCAGGTACCAAAACAGAATCTCTTCCTTTATTTTAATGTAAGACTTCCAGAGCTCTGGCCACTAGACACAGAGTAGCATGTCCCAAGTCACACGATAACAGTAAATAAGACACCTAATGTGAGCTCAGTACTTGGCACACGACAGGTTATGCGTGCCAGTCTCTTCCCCAGCAAGACAAGCTGTATGGTGACTGTCCCAGTATGGCCTCCACACCTAGTCCCTCGTGCCTCTGGAGTCAATCCTAGCTGCTACATTTCTGAGGATGTAAGAGTGGGGTGGGAAAGATGGACACAGTTAAAGAATCTAGGACAGTAATTCCACATTTTTAAACCCTGAGCCCTCAAGCTTCCATGTGAAAATGTAACAGAACCACCTGGAAGACAGTCTCCAGAAGGGTGACCGTGAGAGCCCACCCTCCTGTTTGAGGACAAGGACTACCTGGTCAACTGCCTCTCTGCTCCCACAGCGCCAGCAGCCAACCAATTCTACCCTGGTTTTCAGTAAGAGGGAAGCTTCCAGACAGGAAGGAGCAGGTTGGCATCTCCTGAGCCAGGCAGGTGCTCAGGGAGCCCAGCCACTGTCTGTGGGGGCGGGAACCTGCCTGTCTCTCGGGATCCTCGCAGTCCTCCTCCGTCTGCTTCTTGGTCTTTTCAGGGCGCCACGGCCGCCAGTGCCTCCGGTCACGGGAGCGCTCGGCAGCGAGCCAGATCTGCCACCGGGGCAGAGTCTTATCTCTTATTTCCTGGTCATCGTCTTCTGGTTCATCGTCATCATCATCTAGACAAGAACAAAACGTCCAGCTTGCTTAACCAGCAAACAGAACCATCAAGACCCGGTCAACCTGTGTGCCAGGAACTGTGGTAAGCACCTGGAATGCCAGGATGAGTGAGACCTGGGGCCGGCCTGGGACATGCCAGGCAGTCAGGGACTCTCCTGTAGTCACCTGCACGTTCCCAGGAGGAACCGCAGATTAGCAGGTAAAATCAATTGATTTACACCATCACAGCATCTAAAACAGGAACGACACGTATTCCAGAACCTTCGTGGTGATGAAACATTCTGTATCTGTGCTAACATGGCAGCCACTGGTAACTCGTTGTGACTTACTGGGCACTTAAAATGTAGCTGGTAGAGGACCTGAATATTTATTTCATTTTAATTAATTTTAATTAAAATAGCCACATGTGGCCAGTGGCTCCCATACTGAACCACATATTTCTAGAATGCTAAATGACATATAATGACAGCTTTCGTTTAGAGTTTCTTAAGCCACCAGAATTTTTAAGTCAATGGCTTTATGATTATGACCTATAGTCTTTAAAAAAAAAAAAAGGTAACTCGAGGTATCTTATACTTGATTTCACTTTGTTCCCTAATTCTGAACATGCAGACTAGAAAAGGAAAAAGTCTGAGTCTTCTGTAAAGTTCAATATTTTAAAATAAACAAACATACAGAGTATAGAAAACAATACAGCCACCTGGAAAATGGTTTGGCAGTCTCCTATAAAACTAACATGCACTTACCATAAGACCCAGCAATGATACTTTCGGTGCTGATCCCAGAAAAATGAAAACCTTTGATCAAATAAACACTAATGCCCACAGCAGCTTTGTTCATGAGAGCCCCGAACTAGAAACCTCCCAGATGTCCTTAGGAGAACGGCAGTGATGTGTCTCTGCCAGGGGACGCTACTAAGCCACAAATGCGAACTGCTGACACGTGCGACAATTTGGATGAATCCTAGGGGAATTATGCTACGTGAAGAAAAAGCCTATCTTAAAAGTGTCACAGAAAACAAGTGTTGGTAAGGATGTTGAACCCTAGTGCATTCGTGGTGGGCATGTAAAATGGTGCAGCCACTGTAGAAAACACTATAGCGGCAGTTCCTCAAAGAATGAAACCTACTCCCCCAGATGACCTGGCAATGCCACTTCTGGGTATAAACCCAAAAGAACTGAAAGGGACTCACTCAAGCAGATACTTGCACACTCATGTCAATAGCAGCCTTCTTCACAATTGCCAAAAGGTGAAGCAATCCAAGCGTCCATCGACAGATGGATGAAAAAACAAACTGTGGCATCTACATACAATGGAATATTTTTCAGTCTTGGAAGGAGACATTGACATGCCACACACTGGACGCACCCTGAAGACACCATGCTAAGTGAAATAAGCCAGTCGCAAAACAACAAACATTGCCTGATCCCATTTACGTGATGTTCTTAATGGAGGCAAATTCACAGAGACAGAAAGTAGGGTGGCTGTCCGGGGCTGGGAGGAGGGCTAGCATCTGACGGGTACAGAGTTTCAGGTGAGGAAGACGGAAGCGTCGAGATGGACAGGAGGAGTGATGGCCGCACAAAAGTGTGAATGTAGTTAATGTCAATGAGCTGCGCACACTTAAAAATGGTTAAAATGGCAAATTTTATGTATATTTTACAACAAAAATTTGTTTTTAAAAAGTCTCATGACACATGATTTCACTTATGTAGCATACTGAAATATTTAATGAGATAATAGAGATGGAGGACAGACCAGTGGTTGCCTGGGCGGGGGGGGGGACAGGGGAGAAGGGAGGGTGGACACAGCCACAAAGGTGGGGCGTGAGGGAGTCTGGGGGTGAAGAAACAGTTCTGTCTTGACTGCAGCGGTGGTTACACAAAGCTACACTAAAACTGTACAGTATTCCACAAACACATGCACAGTGAGTGCATGTAAAACGTGAAATCTTAATAAACTGCGGATTGTATCAGTGTCAATTTTCTGGCTGTGATACTGTACAACAGCCACTGGGAGGGGACTGGATGAAGGCCGCAAAACCTGTGTATTTTTTTTTCAACTTCTTATGAATCTATAAGTACTCTAAAATAAACAACCCCAGAGAATATAAATGCATGATATGTGTATTAGCATTTTAAATCCAATATTCTATCCCAATGCTCTTCTGAATTTCTCAAACAATTAAAATCATATATCTCCTTCTAAAGATCTACATTTAAAATAATCCATGTATCGTACTGAAAAACTCTTAACATTAGGGAAATTACCCTTGTGAGATACCTGATTTTATTACATTTGGAATTCAAAGGAGTACACGGTTTTAGACAGACATACATATAGTTACAGATGAACAGGAAGTGAGGGCAAGAGAATAAGCTGTAATGTCTGAAAAAGAAATACCTCAGAATCTGTGATAAATCCCTACTACTCTCTAAATGCCAACTTTGTCAGGAAGGACAAGAGAACTTAAAAGAAAAGCAAAAAAGTCATCAACTAGTGTTCTGGAACAAGAAACTTGCAACCTTTCTTCTGATCCTGGTTTTGGGGAGAGCTCCCACTAAATTCATTAGCCAGAAATACATTAAATTCATTAAATTCAACAGAAGATTCTCCATGATGGAAAGCTTGCAAGGTACATACGTACCAACACACATTCCTAACTTGATATTAAAAAAATCAAGGTTTTGACACTTGCATTATCATCCTGAGAAAACCAACTTTCCTTCTGATTATGAGTGACTACCAGACATATGGACACTTATCGGAGAAGTAATGGTCTCTGGACACTGCTATGAGAACTCGTCCTCACAGAAATGCAAAACATGGTAAACTTTAGAACATAAAGACCACGCATTCTCAGAGTCTTGCTCGCTCATTAACAAAACAAACAAACAAAAACAATCTGGAAACAAAGCCATACTGAGTGGGTCACTCGGACAAGAGTTAGTACCAGAAAGACTGGCGTTTGGGGCTCTTCGTGTGGCCTTGCAGACTCGGTGGCTAGACCGCAATCCCCACCTCTGCTCTGCCCTGCGGGCTGCTCTTCTGCACGTGTGAAACCGCTGGGCAGACTGAAGGACAGTTCCAGGTCTCTGTGGGAAAAACACTCAAAGGGACTTCGAAACAGCTGAGGCTTCAATGGCCCAAGCGAGGCACAACTGTCACCTGATGGCGCTGTCTGGAGCAAGCTTGTCCCAAATACCCGAAAGACTCGTCCCTGCCTCAGTGGTGACAGACGTGACCCCTGGCCCGGAGCTCTGCACGGTCATGCTGATCACAGCCAGTCGAGGTTCCCATTCCTCAGATGAAGAAACCCAGGCCCAGGAAGGTGATGACTTGCGCCAAGGGGCTGTCAAGCCTGGGCGAGGGGCCGTCTCCTGGGCGCCCGCCCTCTGCTATTCCCTGCCTCTTCCAACAAGGCTGAAGGAATCCCCGGGTCACTAAGAGCTGCGCTGTGCAATGCCGTAGCCATGGCTACCAGGTGCTGGAAGGTGACTGGTCTGAACTGAGACGTGCTATACAAGGAAAATACACACCTGGTTTTTCAATACCTCTTACATGTTGAAATGTGAGTGGTTTGATATGTTTTTAACGTGGCTACTAGAAAACATGAAGTTACGTATGTGGCTTGAATTGTATTTCTACTGGGCAGTGCTGTTTTAGAGTGTAAATCAGGAAAGTGCATTGGGGCCATTTAAAAAGACAGTTATGTAAACGCTAGCTAATAATTATCTGATAGTATTCCTTAAAAGGCAAGTACTTTTCAAAGGATCTGGACATTGCCAAGAAAACAAAAAGACTGTCTTACACACTAAAATGGGCGTGGGGTGGAGGGATCAGCAACAAAATTACTTCTTCAGGTGCCGCCTATAAGAAGAAAAATGACAAATACTTCCTCTGGAAAAAACCTCGAACCCCGATAGCGTTACGTACTGAAGGAACGGGGTAGACTGCTCTGAAGGCTCCAAGGAAAAGAGTCAGTCGATTCCCCCGGGATGTCTACTTCACGTATTTTGACAGTTCGATGTTTGTACAATGTTCTTAAGCTACTAAAAAATGGCTTATATATATAAACAAACAATTATGAAGATGTAAAAGCAAACTCTGAAAGAGAAAAAGCGTACACATGCCGAGCGAGGCCTTACCTGGACTGATGACCACCCAGCCGCCCCGCTCCTGCTGGTGCATCCACGCTCTCCAGCCTCGGGCACCCTTCTCCCCAGCCCGGGGCTCTCCACTGTCCCAAAAGGGCTCAAAGAATTCTACCTGTTTAGGTTTAAAATATGGAAGTGAGCCTCACTTGTACAAAACTACTGAGTCATTGGTCCAAATAAGTACCAACTGGCCTAAGAGGGGCTTGCGATTCTTGAAATCCTGCCTGTCATCAGTGGCTGAAGTAGATACGTGATACACGCCCCAAAACAGAAAATGTAATTATGTGGTATGGGGGCGGCCTCCACGATAGCCCTCCGTGACTCTCTCCGGGCCCTGTGTTCACACTCTGCAAGGTGGGCTGGGCCAGTCACTTCTGGCAAACAGAGTATTGCAAAAAGTGATGGGATGACACTCCTAAGATAAGGTTAAACGAGACTGGCCAGGGTCATCGAGAAGGGTAGGAATGGAGTGGTCTCCCAGTTCTGGCCCTGGCAGGCCAGTCTAACAGGGACAGTGGCATCGCAGCGGAGTGCGTCACACACCAGGAAGAGGACAGTGTCGCGGAGCCACAGGAGGTCAGGGGGCCGGGGTGGGGGTGGTGAACGTCCTGACGTGGGTCCTGGACTCCAAGTGCACATCAGCCACCCAGGAAGGGGACTGGGAAGATGACATCCCTCTTTACAGGTTCTGCTCTTAGAAGAGGGATGGAAGAAAGTGCACTCAAGAAAAACAGGTTTTTTTTAGTGTGATAAATGGTTATAACCAGTTTAAACCACAGAAACACAGAACAGTAATACCAGACTCGGCCTGTTTTATGTTCTACTACTGTTTACGGTAACAAGTCTCTGAGTTATAAAGATATGGAATATCATTAAATAAAAAGTTTTATTTCAAAGTTGTCATTGTGCTGTTAGTATTTAAAACCTTGAGAGCATGGATCAGGGGTGGCTCTCGATGCTTCAGCATCCTGGGCAGTGCCCCGCCCCCGCCCCCCACTCCCATGACACATCTCGTCATTTGTCAGCAAAGCAGTGGGCATGAGGGCGATTCTGATCCTCGCCCCCAACCACACACCTCACGCTCCCCAGGCTCGGCTAAGAATCACTTCCGTAGCACAGCATATCCTTAAGATAGCAAAGCATGTCTTAAAATAACTTTGCTATCTGGTATATCATACTAACAAGCAGTTATACCAACATTAACCAATATTCTTTAACCTAATTTTGTCTAGAAAAAAAAGATAAAAATGAAAAAGATAGTCTTCATAGGCAATTCATGAAAATTCTACAAGATGGAGACCTTAGCCTCTCAAGAAAGACCTTTGAAAGGTCATCATAAAGTCAGCTATCCTACCCGTCTGTCACCAGACCCTCTTCGCAGAAGAACAGTTTTCTTCAGGGGAAAAAGGCTTTCTTTTATGGATAGCTCTATATAATGTTTTTTGATTGCTTCACATTACAAACACTGGCAATGTTCACTTGTCCTCTAAATGATTAACCCCTCCCCAGTTAGGATCCACGCTGACAAAGTGCCAATGTGTAATTTCATTTCCAACTCCAGCAAAGACTTCAGGGAGCGGAAAGAGTAACTGGAGAAGTGACACAAGACCGAGGTCAGAATGCACGGCGGCAGGGGAGAGCGACACAGTGTAGAGACATGACAGTGTTTCCCTGACGGGTGGGGATGACTCGCATTTAAATAAGGGCTATAAGTAAGAAAAAGAAGGGGCATAAGTAATCCTCATATGGGGGAGGGGGGGCCAGGAGAATCTTCTTTCATTTCTCCATGTTTCACTACTTTTGTTTTGAAATTTTCCTTAGATCATCAGAAGATTCCTGAGAAACGATCCTCAGCAGAACTGAGACAGAGGAGGGTGGGCTATTTTAAAAACACTAGGACCACCGCCCACAAGCCCCACCTCCCCAGAGGGGGCGGAGCGCCCACAAGCCCCACCCCCAGGCGGCGAGGGGAGGAGCGGGGAGGGGGCCGAGCTCGCACCTGTCCCTTGGTAGGCAGGTCTTTCACGCTGTCGGGCTTGAAGAAGGTGAAGTCGACCATGGCCTGGAACAAGGCGACGGCCTTCTCAGAGTGACCGGCCTGGCGCAGGAAGTGGCTCTGCTGAAGAAAGAGCGCTGCGAGCACGGGCAGCAAAGGGCGAGAATCCCGGGTTAACACCGCTAAAGGGGAGGGACGCAGCCTCTGAAAACACGCAGCCAGACAGCCAGACCAGACCCCGGGGGCGCCTCCCTGCAATCGGTTCCCCTCACGCTTTCAGAGCTGTGCTGATGTAAAGGGACGCAGAGCGTACTGTAATCAAAGCACATTTACTGATTTTTATGTGAAACCATCACAGAACACAAATATTAACAATAAGAACTATATACATCACATCAACACAAGGCAAGTGGTTGTTCTGGATATTGGTTATCAAAGCTCATTCATTATTTCGAGAAGAGTTCTAGAAAAAGGATGCTGCAGTCTTTTTTTTTTTTTTATCAGAAAGCAAAGATTTCTGTGCTTAATTGATCACTAGATGGCATTATTCACCGGCAATTTTCATCATATGCTCAGAGTCGGCTGTAAACAAATCAAGATTCCATGTTTGAAATTTTCAGTTTGTCTTAACTGTGGTACATTCCATCCACTGAATAATATTAGGCTTTTTGAGCCCATCACAAATGATATCAAGCACAAGACTCTTTATGTCACTGTGGTGAATGAATGCTTATTTCTAGAGCAGTATGTTTCTATCTTTAGAAGTTATTAGTAATAGCAGGGTTTTGATCAAATAAACGCTTGCTGTGTACCCGACACAGAGCTAGACTCACCATGCATTACCTCAGTTAATGGGCACAATAAACCCTGTGGAGCAGTTGTTGTGCTATTGCTCCTGAGGGAGAAACTGGAGCTCAAATAGGTTAAGGAACCTATGCAAGGTCAGACCAGAACCAACGAAGGGCAAACCAGGATTCAAGTCCAGAGAGATACTCTCCAGCTCCTGTGTAACACGCTGTCCCCAGTATCTCATTTTTATTCTAAGCTCCTTTGGGACATACCAAAAATGCTGGCAGTGTAATAATATCAGTAACGCATATATCTGTGCAATGATTGCCAGTCGGTCAGGGCACCTCACAAACACGGCTGTCTGAGACCTTAGCACCGGGTGTGCTGAGCAGCACAGGCGTCTCAATGGATAACGGTATCAACAGCCAAAGCAGTTGAGAGACCTGACTCTGCTTCCCTGGTTAATAGAAAAGCGGAAACTTCTAGCTCGGTGACACTTTCCTAACCCTGCTAGCTTTCATGCCCCCTCCCGCAACCCCACCCCCACCCCGAACCACCGCTAAGAAGCTGGAGGGGGGAGAATCTGTTATGCTCAAAAGCAGTCATAGTTTTTCTCGATTAATCGATTTTATCGATTTATCAGTTTTATCAATTTAGACTTTTCTAAAATAAACCAAAATAAATCTTCACTCTCAACGAAAGCCAAAAGTACGATTCCTCCCACATAAATGGACTTGGTCAGCATCTCCTTACCAAACATGGCCTCCTCGGTGCCGGGCAACTCAGGGTGAGACAAGATGCTGCCGTCCCTCACGGCAGACAAAGTACTCAGGCATTTTCCATAGAGACTGTGAATTTTCGATACTGAAAAGGTGCTAAACTGGCTCTGGCAAAATAAAAGGTATTTCTGCCAAAGGGCTGTATTATTGGGATGTAAAAAGATCAGTTTCTGCCACTCTTTGACCAGCGTGGAGGGCTCCCAGAACTCTGCGCAGAGCTTCAGCTTGGCGAGTTTCAGATCCACACTGCTCTGGTTGCTTTCAATGGCCCGCTCCAGAATGGCCAGCTTCTTCTCCAGAATGAGCTTCAGGGACCTCTTTCGCTTTTCCTGCTCTCCTTCCTCGATGGCATACAGGCCAGGACTTTTCATGACCTCGTCCTCAACAACAGAAATACCAATTTATAAATGCAAAGGGAACTGGGGGACCCTCAGGGTTCCAACACTGCTCACAGAGTTACTTGCAAGCCTTCCAAAGGGTCTCTCACCCCTCAAAATGAACTGCTATTCAGATTTCTTGAGAACCACTCGTATAGCAGAATTTCCTTTAACGGAAACACAGTTCTTAGGGTGCCCGTGTCACCCAGTATGTTTGATCTTGATCTTGTGTTTCTTTCACCTGATCTGTCATTTTCAACTTAGATTTATGCATCAATGAGCATGCAATACCTTGAAAACCTTTTCTGAAGAGTCAACTTTACCATTAAAACAGCTGAAAGTAGGACAAAATGTAATTGTATATAAGTGGTTCAAAAAATTAAGTGGAACTAAGACAAATCCATATGTTTTAGAAAGGGAGCACACAGCTCTAACTAGGCAGCCCCTTCTCTTTCACAATTCTATGCATTCTGCATGTTGTCTGTACTTCACAAATGTCTCTCTAGGCCTGGTGAACATCTACTGTTCTTTCAAGATTTTGTTCAAATTTCACCTTCTCTTGGAAACCCTTTCTTACTCTATGGCAAGTCGCTCCCTCATTCCATCCCCAAATGACACATTAAAGCATTTATTACCCCAGACTGCATTTATTCTTCACACGTCAGTCTTCCTCGTTACACTTTGGACAAGCTCAGGGCAAGGGTCATCCTCTAAGAATCTTTATGTGCTCAGTGCCAGGGCTCCTCACAAGAGCTCAAAAAGTGCTGCAGAGTGAGCACTGCTGTGCTAAGTAAGGTAAGAAAACTGGGATGACCACACTCACCTGAAAAGCAACAAAGGCCATCCATAGCTGAATGTCTCGAGGATTCTCCCGAACCCTCCTGTTAAACTCCTCCACCTTGGCCTTGAGAAGCGCATTCTCTCGATCTGGCTGTGAGTCTGGCTGCTTCGATTCCTGCTCCGCAGGACCCTGTCCCTGTAGCCACTGCGTGGTGGACTGATCATAAATCCCCAGAGGGTTCAACCAGGTCGTAACGGGAGGCGGCGCCAGATCGTCGGAGCCTTTGACTGGGATAAACGACACTGGCTCAGATGCGAGAGGTTCGGGTCTACTGCTGACGGCAACTCCATCCACACTCATCAACCCCACATTCTTCTTCGTAAAATAGCGCTCGACGTGCCTGCGTGGATGCTTCCTTTCTGCAGAAGGCCCCTCCCAGGATACGCACTGCTTCTTAGGGTTAATGCCAAGGCAGGAGTCTCCTTTCCTCTTGTACCTTACATTTGAAAGAGAGAAAAGGTTACTGAGGGACCATATGCACTAGCGATGAATGAGACTTAAAATTCTTCTTATATGCAAGTTAACTGCATATATTCAAATTCACCTTATTTTCAAATCGTTTCTATTTAGAGAAATATAAGGACGAGCAATTAACTTTTTCTGCCCGTTTGGCTTATTCCTCTAAAACTTCAACTCTTCATTAATGTCTCGTGAATTTAAGATCATGCCTGTCTTCCAGATCTTAGTAATTTATATTTTCCTGGCACTCTGCAGGTAAAGTACTGTCACATACATTATGTCATCTGATCATCACAATTGTATGTGACAGGCAAGGCAAAAATCATCATCCCCTCTTTTACACTATTCCTAAATAAGGACACTGAGACCTTAGCGGACACTAAGTCATCTGTCTCCTAGAGGAGTCCGTTTCCCTCAATATTGTCCTGTGTCCCTACTTAAAAAGATAACATATAGGTCTAAGATGCTTTTTTTAATCCTGAAACAAAGTATGTCAAATAAAATTACATCTGGCTATTTTCTATTCTAGAGGAAAAGAGGCTGGGTTTTAAAATGCTTTTATGGAACATGTAGGCGTCCTCAGAGTTACAAACACATGACTACTGAATATCTGAACAAAAGCTAAGGAAAACTGTGCACTTTTCTGTATGTATGTTATATAAACAGCCCAATTAAAAAATAGGCAAAAGAGCTGAACAAAATTCACAAAAGATGACATGAATGGCCAATAAGCACATGAAAAAGTGTTCAACATCATTAGTCATCAAGGAAATGCAAATTAAAACCACAAAGAGATACACCACATACCCACCAAAAAGCTAAAATTAAAAAGATTGACAATACTAAATGTTGGTGAGTAATATGTGGAGTAACCAGGATTCTCATAGGCTGTTGATGGGAATATAAACTAGTACAATCGCTTTGGGAAAAGGTCTGGCTGTGTCTTAAAAAAACTAAACATAGACTTACCCTATGACCCAGCAATTCTACTCACAGGTATTTACCCAAGAAAAAGGAAACCACACATTTACACAGACTTGTACACAAAAGTCCTCAGCAATTTTATTCATAAGAGCCAAATACTGGTAAGAGTCCAGGTGTCCATCAATGGAAGAATGAATAAACAGATGGTGATATGGCCATACAATCGATACTGCCAGCAGTGAAAAGGAACAAACTGCTGATAAATGCCACAACACGGATGAAGCTCAAAAACATTTCTTCAAGTGAAAGAAGCCAGACACAAAAGAGTAAACACTGTATGATTCCATGTATATGAAGTTCTATAACAGACAAAACTAATAGATGGTGGGAAAAAATTAGAACGATAATCACCTCTGGGGAGGTGGGGTGTGGACTCACGGAAAGGGGTATGGGGAAACTTTCTGCGGGTGCGGTCATGTTCTACAGACTCATGGAGGTCTGGGTTATCCAGGTGTACGCCTTTGTCAATATCAGCAAATGAAGATGTATATATTATACTGTATGTAAATTTTAAATCGAAAGACAAAACTAAACAAATCTCGGACTGTCGTTAATGACATCCATGCTCAAGGATTTAGGGGGCAGTACATTGGCTATTTACTTTGAAACGCATCAAAAAATAAGATGGACAGATGGATGAATGGACAGATATACGATAAGGCAAATATAGCAAAATGTTAATGGCAGAATGTAGGGGGTGGGTATGTGAGTGTTCACGCAAATGCTTTCAACTTACACTGTATTATTTTTTTTAATTTTTCATGATAAAATGCTGTGGGGAGAAAAAGGCAGGAGAGAGCCACCGCCATCGTCTGTCAACTCCCAGAAAGCTCTGACTCCAGCTCCCTGTGGCCTAGCCTGTCACCTCCTTTGCTTCCCCACAGTCAACAGACACCTGAGCAGCTCTCTGCTGGCCTGGGCCTCCTTTGCTGCCAAGTGCAGTGAATCCCACTTTGTGGGGAGAGTGACTCACATGTACACAGAGTTGCCTCTCAAGCCCTTTCTCTTCATCCTCTCTCCCAACTCTTCCTATCCGCCTCAGGATGATCTCTCTCTATTCCATTTGTGAGTCAAAAACAACTTTAACAAAGCGGTGAGGAGACAAAACAGTGCTACAAGAGCTCTAAACACGCCTGTCATTCCCTAAGGAAAAAATTTTAAGTGAAAAGTTAGTTTTATTCTCCTTAATTACTATTTTATTTTTACTAAAAATGAACAATATTTTAGATAGTCATATCATCTCTTAAAAAATGTTTACTGAGTTTTCTGACTGGCCTTATTGGTCCATATTACCAAGTGTCTACTTTCAGATATGAAATGTATACGCATACACACATCCTATATTAAAATACTTGACAACTGCTTCAGGCTTTCCCCCTACTTTTAAGCATTTCTCTATACCACTAGTCTTAGAAAATATAATTGTTACTGGCTTCAAACTGGTCCATTGGAGGGGTGTGCCATAATTTATTTAGCTACTTCCTTATTGTTGAGCATTTCAGTTGTAGCCAATTTATCACTTACCACAGAATCTTAGTAACTGGACAGGACCTAGAAGATAATCTAATTCAATATTCCCTCAAATGCTGGCACTTTTCCTGTAAAATCCTTACCAAATAAACAGCCAGTCTTCACTGGAATAATTCCAGAAGTAGGAACCCCACTTTGGAGGTTCAGTAAACGACATAATACGGATGTTTAATTTAAATGAATTCAGCCATAGGCACCCAGTCACCAAAATTTTAAAAAGAAAAGGAAACAAAGAAAAAAGAAAACGACAAGGAAGAGGGTATGGAAGAAAATGTATTTAAATCGAGCACACAATTCTGCCGTGAATTCACTCAGCGGGCCTGAACCCCAGAGTGAGCTGGGCTGGGCCACATAAATGTGCCTTTCCTTCAGTGACTTCGATTCATGCCGCTCACGGTGCCAGACTGCCTGGGCCCAAATATCAACTTCAACATTTACTAACTGGGTGACCTTGATCCAAGTATTTAAAAAATAAACAAACACATGTGTCCCAGTTTCCCCATCTGTGAAATGGGGATAATAATGGCACCTATGTCAGAGAACTGATGAGATGATCAAAAAAGTTCACAAACGTGAAGTCCTTATCCATACAGAAGGCTAGAGAAGTGCGAACTATCATTATTTTATAAAACTTGGCTCCTAAACATACGCTGACTGTTTCATCTGGTGTGTAGCCACAGACACGACAATCCATTCTAAAAATGGTGAAAAAACAGACTGAGATGAACTTCACTAAGAGACAGTATATTAATCCTAAGGAATTTTCCAAAGGTAATTTTAACTCTGTCATACATCAACTTTAGTACCTAACCTCTGCTTTGCATGACACTGCAAACGACACACACATCACCCCTGCGATGCTTTTATACTGAGCCAAATCGGACCTCCCGGCCCTTCTGCTCACCGGCCCCGGTTGTGTCTTCCCAAAGACAGTCCAAAGACAGACAAGGATCATACCCTGCCGCAGGCCATTTAGTCCCCATTTAGTCCCCAGATGACGGTGCTAGCCCAGTCATCTCTTCATCCTCCTCGCAAAGCTCTCGGTCTGTCAGTGCTCCTCTTCAGAGGTGAAAATTCAGAACCTGACACAGTATTCCCACTGTGCTCTGACCAGCTCAGACGGCCATGGGATCAGTACCTTCTGAGACCTGAAGTTAACAGCTGTACAAGTATTAGTCCAGGAGAACTCACCTCACGCAAACTCTAGTAACTTACCTGGATGTTACGTCAATGCCCTAAACGCTTCATAGCAGCATCTTGCAGTTTGGATTAATGAAGTTGTCACTAATTACTCTTTCGAAGGGCTGAGCCATTCTTTAGGAGAGACCTAAGAGCCACTCATTGCTAATATTTTTTTTCCTTTTTTCATCTATTACTAAATAATAACCCTTTATAGTTGCACACCAATTTCTAATTCAAAATCAAATATTTCTGATATTTGTGTGTAAGGCACAGCAAGAGTTACAAGTCCCAATTTACGAATGAAGAAATGGAGGCCCAGACAGCGGTGAGTGACTTGCTGCGATTATATTACCAGCAAATGGCAAACTCAGAATGAGAACCAGGCCCTCTGTTTCTCAGCCTAGAAAATGTTCTAGCATACAACCCGGCTCGTCTTTACCTGTGGACAGTGAAAGAACACTTGAACTCAGAGAAACAGGGCTGCAAACCCCAGCTCCGCTGTTTCCTGGCTGCACGACCTTGAGAAGTCATTGAAGCTGCCTGCGGGTCCTGTGCCTCATTTGTAAAATGGGGGTGCTCTCCCCATCACAGCACGGCCGTGTGAACACGTCAGTGAGACCAGTGTTTGCTGGCCTCCCATCCTTTACTGGTTTCTAGCACATCTGTGGCACTACACTGTGGTGGCATGGAAAACCACACAAGATTTTAGGGAGTATTAAAATAATTTTAGAATATATGAATACATTTTAAATGATAGTCATTTACTCTCAGCCATGAGATTTTAGTAGATAATGTAGATATAAACATGCATTAAAAAATAACTGATATAAACTCATCATAAAGGAATTTGTTATTGGAATTGCTTACGTGGCAAAGTATGTCATGATGAGTAGAAACATGATTAAAATTTGGAGATGCAGCAAAGGAATGGAAAGCAAAATTTATTTTAAAAAGTAATTAGTCTATAAAAAATGATAATGATCTTCAAGGTCTCCTGTTGGCTTTACATTCCAAGATTCTCTGCCTTCGCTTTTCATTGACCGTAAGCTGTTTGGGAACAGAGATTGCGTATTATTGTTCTTTATGTTCCCAGCAGTGTCTTACAAAGTATGAAGTGCCAAATGGGTTTAATAAGTATTCAAATATTTTTTGATTGACAGATTAAAGTTTAAACTCATTAGTGAAGCAAATATCACCACCTATTTTTATGATTATCTGGTGATGAATGCTGGAAACATTTTGAAAAAGTCATTACCATTTAATGTCACTTTTTAAATGGCATACGTGGGCAGTGGATAAATAAAAGGCTTTTGCAACTTTTTTAAATGGCACATAGCATAGACCAAATGGTTTCTGCATAGTTTGTCACAACCATTTCAAGGTCTGTTTAGATTCATTTGTCCAATAAATATTTATTGAAGACCTATCACGCCAGGCACCGTGCCAACCACACTATGGATAAATAAGATTAATCCGACCTGGATCCTGATCTCAAGGTTTAAACTTTTCATTTTAGAATGTGAGATAAGACAGAGGCCTAAACAACTTAGCAGGGGATAAAAACCCCACAGAATCTCGGGAGAGGGTCGATGGACAGAGAGAGCGCTGAGTGCAGGAGAAAGAAGCTCCTTCCTGCCAGTGAGAATCAGGAAAGACATCACGATGGGGCGGTACCTTGCTATATCTCCCCGGTAGAGGGACTTATACTCCCAGTTGGCCGGATCTGGCTTCTTATCTGTCCTGAAGGTTTCTCCCGTCAGAGGCTGAATGTCCTCAAGCCAAACAAAGCGACGTCCAACATCAGCAGCGGCAGAATTTTCTTGACTGTGAGACAAAGGAAAGTGGAGAAGAAAAAGGGAGAGGCGCTTAGGACTCTTCCAGTTACACGGTCCACACTTGCGGAAACATGCAAGGTAAACATTGTGAACTCTGCACAGCATCATTTTGAAGAGGACGCCTGCTCTAAAAAAAAGTTTTAAAGTATAAAGCGAAAATTGTCAATACTAAGCGGCACTTTACCAAAAGAGAAGTCTTCTCAGAAATTACCCTGAGGGATACAGGTGTTCTTTTTAAATATTCCATTTAAATGACTGTAACTTGAGTTTCAAATAAATTCACAAACTTTCTTCTTTTTTAAAAAAACGTGGGCTACCCTTACTTCACCTTATTTGAAATGTTCAGATTATTTACTCCAACTCAAAACTCGACAATAGCAAAAGCCACGATTCTGAACGGTTCGGCCTCAGACGTGACTCACGCTTGGCCTTAGTCTCGTCTTTCTAGTCTGGGCTCCGTGCACGGTGTTTTGCCTGTATGTACCGACCTCCTACATAAAGGGCAGAGAGAGCCCACTGTAAGACAAGACCCTTATTTGTCCTTTGGAACAAATTTGTGAGTTGGCAGACCTTCAGCTCAGATACGAATGGAACCACTCCCCTAGGAATCAAGTGAGGAGGAGGGAAGGGTTTCCTGGCATCTGACATCTTTCCTCCTCTAAAGAAAATCAGTTCAGAATACACTGCTGACTCAAGGAACTGCCAGAGTGGTCAAAACAGCCACTGATTTGTTCCATCTTTGCTTTTTAGCTCTGCTCAGATAGAAACAAAGATTCTGGAGGCTTCTAAATCATTCTTGGCTGGGAATCCGAGGCAATGGTATTTCAGGGACACAAAGTAGCTATTCAATAAATATTTGTTGAATGGCATGTCTCAGGCTAAAATACATGGCGATTTTAACACGTTCCCCTTCAGAACAACTGTGGAAGGGTATCCGTCAATGAAAACCAGTAAGGAGCAGTGAAGGGAGGGGAAAAAACTGATGCATTCCAGAAAGAAATGGAGGATATAAAAAATAAAATAAAAATAAATGAAGGGCCAGCTGCAGACCACCCCTGGGGAGGAAACAGCCCTATCCTCCCCCTACTGGGCACTGAGGCCAGGAAGCAGGACGTGGCCTGGGCTATGTGCGAGGAGGGAGCTCCCTCTACCTGAAGGTAAAGAGAGGTCATCCTAGGACATGAAGGTTCATTAGAAGCTGCAGCCTCTGGGGGAATTGTCCCTCGATCCCTCTGAAGTAGAGTCTCATGGGGTGTATTACCCCCATGAACCCACTTTCCTGACATCACGGAAAGACACAGTCACTAACATCTTAGTCCTCGTCGATAAGGAAACAAACATTTCTTCCAAGTCACCTTCCCAGGAAGAAGCTACAGAAGTTAATAATAAGAAAGTAAAAGAGGACAAGAACATTCTATTTTGATCTTACTGGGGATATTCTGCAAGGTATCAACAAACTTAAAAATGCTGTCTGGATCATAAAATTATCAAGAGGCTGCAAAGATCACCTCTGATGTGGTTAAGCACAGGCTGAAAATAACCATCTTTCAAGTTCCATGTGGGTTCAGGAAATCTTTTAAAGCTCATTTTCCTCAAGTATAAAAAAGGACAAGGAGCTAAAGGTAAGTTTTCAGAAGATACAATGATTAATATATTTCCCTCTGAAGACCTACAAAGAAGCAAGAACATCAGTGAGACATTCATCCACATATCGAAACCGTATTCAGTGCATGTTGCTGAGTGTCAGGCCCCGTGCTGAGGCCAGCAGGGGTTGGAGAGGGACACGATGGCAGGCCACACGGGCGCGGCTCCTGCCTACCTAAATTCAGGCCCGTTCGGAACCTTTTTGCTTGAGTCCCTTTGTTTCTCCTTCCTAGAGCAAGTCTGGGTTGCCGGTACAGCACCTGAGACCCACGGAGGACCAAGCGAACCTGGACCCTCGGCGCCAGGGGCCGGTGGTGCTCTCCAACACCCACAGGACGACAGAGGGTCCCGGGAGACTGCGGTGTTTGCCTCTCTGACAGAAACCCTACGGGCCAGATTCCAGACCTGCTCCTACACGGAGCTCTCCCTGACATCAATGGGACTTCTAAGCAAATAACCCTGAAGAGTCGCAGAATTCTTAATAGCGCTAATTTTTTTTTAAGTATGTATTAGGCGGGTACTTAAACTTCCTCTCTTATAGACCGTATGAACAAAGAAAAAAAAAAGTTAAATGAGAACTAATTCAAGTAGTTTCACCACATACCAACTGTCCCTATGTAGGAGACTATGGGACTGAGCAGAGGGGCAAAGCCATGACAAGTACCTACTCTCTGACCGTTTCACAGAATGACCTGAACACTATGCTCAAGGCAGTCGGCAGCATGAAAGGTGGTGAGAAATGAAGCCCCCAAGGGAAGGAAATATCGTGGTCATGAGCTACTCTATACCCTCAACACGGCGGTTCTAAATAATGTGAACTAAGGAGGACAAAAACAACAAGTATTTTAAGTGCTGTATTAACCTTAACCAAAGAGTGGGGGACGGGGAGGGGGCGTTAATGGGAGTGAATGAAAGGAAGATATATCAATGAAGAGAAGACAGTTCTATTCTTTGTAAGTGGGGAGGCCAACGGTCCCTCACAGACGGAACCCTTAACTATGCAGTAAACCAGCCCATACACCCACTGTGTGGCACATGTGCCATCTTTCAAAAACCCCAAAGACTTTTTGTCTTAGTCAGATTCTGACACAATCATTATTGTGCCTAATTAACATTTCTCAAATAAAATCATGGCCCTAATTTTTTTAATGGAAGTTTTCCGATTTGGGTTTTTTTTTTTTTATGTTGACCTAATGGTAGAGCTCTATTTTTTCTGAGCTTGAGATATTTATTGACTTCATTTTGATTGAGTAGAATTAAATAATGAGTTAAATCATCATTTAAATGTCTAACTTGTAGCAGTAATCCAGGGAAAAAAATTAAAAATGTAAAATATCATAGGTATTGGAGAATAGAAAACCTACTTAAGCCTCTCTGATTCTTTTTTACTGTCTCTGCTTCTGGAAGATGCGTCCCTTTCGGCATCGGTGTCTGGCCCAGATCCGCTGCTGTCTGACTGCCCGTGTTTGCCCCTGGTTTTCTTGTGGTGCTGATGCTTCCTTTTCTTCTTCTTCTCTTTCTTCTTTTTTCTGCTTGTTTGTTTCAGCTTTTTGTTAGCATCACTTTCATCTGAAGGCTCTGATTTCAGAGGACTCCTGTTTGGGAAAATCAACATGAGAACTTTCAGAAGATAATTAGGGCAAGCAATAGGTAAATAAGTAATCAAATAAACAAATATGTATAGAGAAATTCTAAATATGCTCACACAGACTTACTATTTGCCCATATATTATACGGTATCTTCCTGGATTACAACTCACCTTCAAGACATGAGTTAGATCTAAGATAAAACCAGGTAAGGAAATTCCAATTTTAATAGCTTCTAAACCTATACTTTCATATCCATACACCTTAAAATGAAAGTAATCTATCAGTTATTTTATCGAATATAGTATTTTTAAAAGCATCATTATAAAAAGTTTATTTTCAGTCCTACATATCATACCAACATGTCCTTAATGCCAAAACAAAACAAAACAAAACAAAACCCAAACTTTAATTCTGGCCCTTGTTTTTAAAGGTAATAATGGGCTCTTACTCATTACCGAAATATCTACAAACAACTCCCTCTCATGAGTCAGCTGTACCCAATTTCCAAAAGCTTCTTACACTTTTCGAGCACATGGCACCCAGGGTTCACCATGTTAACAAGACCATCTAGTCTAGATTTGCAAGAGAGTTCATTTCTCAGTTCAATGACCCACAGCAAAGTTCCTTCAAGGCTAGGTAGCCATTTTGTTTTCCCCAAAGTTATCATGAAGTTGTAGCCTATGTTACCGTGGGGGTCCAGAATGAGCTACTCCAAGATGTGCCTCAGTAGTATGCAGATTGCTTTGAGCTAAAGGCCATTTCAGCTTCAGGCAGAAAAGAAACTTCTTTCCCTTCCCCCTGACCCTTTAACCACCCAGAATTTTAATTAGAGGCCTTGCCTGTAAGAGATTATCAGAGATAACATTTTTTTTTAATAAATTCATTTATTTAAATTAGTTTCAAGTATACAGTACATTGGTTAGACATCTATGTAATTCATAAAACGATCCCCCCATTTGCTCCCTCCCTCCCCTGACCCTCCACCTGGCCAACATTAATGCTAACTGCATTCCCTATGCTGTGCTCCCCATCCCCGAGACCATCTATCAACTACTAATTTGTACTTCTTTAACCCTTCACCCCATTCTCTCAGCCCAACTCCCCACCCCTCTGTCCATCACCAAATTGTCCACTATATTTGTGAGTCTGTTTTTGATTAGTTTGTTCTTTTTGTTCCTTATATTCCACGTATAAGTAAAGTCATATAGTGTTTATCTTTCTCTGTCTGACTTATTTCACTCAGCATAATAACCTCTAGGTCCATCCATGTCATTGCAAACAATAATTCGTAAAGATCTATGCACCCCAATATTCATGGCAGCACAATTTACAATAGCCAAGATATGAAAGCAACCTAAATGCCTATAACAGATGACTAGATAAGAAATTATGGTTCATATATACAATGGAATATTACTCAGCCATTAAAAAAAAAAATGAAATCCTAGCAGAGATAACTTCTTCTGACCTATCTGTAGGGCAGGGCAAACTTCTATTTCCTAAAGGTCTGCTCTTCTTATCACCTTGCACTGACATTTGAAGTTCCCCGAGCACCTGACCTCAGCCCTAGCTCAGGGTGTTAATATACCTCGAGCCCCCTTTCTACCTC